AGGGGGGAGGGGGGAGGAGGGAGAAGGGGACGGGTATTTGTATACACAAGGAGTGCAATGCGCACCACCTGAAGAATGGACATATTTGAAGCACGGACTTGAGGGGGGACCAAGGGCAACATATGTAACCTAAACATCTGTACCCCCATAATATGCTGAAATAAAAGAAAAAAAAAAAGAAAGAACTCTTACAAATTAATAAGATACACAGTGCAATGGGAATATCATAAACAAATGTACTAAAGGCAAAGAAATAAATGGCTCATGATATGTGAAAATATGCTCAACCTCATAATAACAGGAATGTAAGTTAACTGAACAATATTTTTATATCCACTAAACTGTCAGAGTAAATGCAAATGTTTTACAATGATGCAGATCATGAGGACCAACTACTTGGGAAAGCAATTTGGTTGAACCACTTAGGAAAACTCTTTGGAACTACCCAAAGGAGGGAGCCTACTCCTCTACAGCCAATAACATCACCCCAAGTATAAAACTTTAAAAAGTTTCGTTTCCTCCAGGAGATATAAAAGTGAATATTCAAGCAGCTTTAATCACTAGCAAAAAAAAAAAAAAATAGCTACCAAAATTTTCATCGACATCAGGAAGACTACCCGTTTTTTATTGTCATCATACAAAATCTAAAAATAGGGAGTGCTAAAAATAAATGAATAATTCCTAAAACCTCCAAATTCATTCAGTCTCAGAAGTAGAAGGGTGAACATAACAACCAAAACGCACAATTCATTCATGAAGTTTAAACTTTTAACAAGGTCAAAATGAAACAAATATATTTAATAAATGGTATAGAGATATATAAAGAGCAGATAAAAAATGCATTAGAGTCCTATGAAAGTGACAGTTTTTAGGGCCAAAATATACAATGCTGGTCCCATCAATCCAATGTCTGTTTCCATGGTTACTCTTTTTCTCTATGGCTCCTGCACTTCTATCTATGTTATAGGGATATATTTGATTATATTTAAGGTCCACCCAGATAATATGGCATAAGCTCTTTCTCTGAAAGACCTTTTCCCACATAAGCAGCACTCACCCTTTTGCCATTTAAGTTGATATCCACAAGTTAGGGGGATTTGGATGTGGTTGGATTGTTCTAAGGACCACCATTCAACCCACTACAGAGATTCCTTCCGGTTGACTTCATGGAAAGGTCTAATGTCAACTGACCCAGTGAAGCACACTCAGTTTCCTGTCTCTGGGAATCACGTCTGGATATATGACACCTGTGTCTGCTGCCACTACCTGGTGACTCTGAGAATATCAGTCCTAGAGTGAAGCCATCTCGAGGGGCACTAAACAAAGCCCTACTACCTGTTCCTTTTTGTGTGCGTGTATAAATTTATGGGGCTCAAATGTGATTTCGTTACATGCAAAGATTGCTTAGTGGTGAAGTCAGGACTTTTAGGGTATCCATCACTCAAATAATGTACGATGTACCCAATAAGTAATTTCCCAACCTCCCCCTTCTCCTACCCCTCATCTTTCTGAGTCTCATTTGTCTATCATTCTATGCACTACATCCATGTGTACAAATTATTTAGCTCACACTTATGAGTAAGAACATGCAGTATTTGTCTTCCTGTGTTTGACTTGTTTCATTTAAGATAATGATCTCCAGTTCCTCCCATGTTGCTGCAAAAGACACGATTTCATTCTTTTTTGTGGCTGAATAGTACTCCATTGTGTGTATATCCACCATGTTTTCTTTATGCAGTTATCCGTTGATAGAGCTTAGGTTGGTTCCATGACTTTGCCATTGTGAATAGTGCCACAATAAACACACAGGTGCAGGTATCTTTTTGATATAATGATTTCCTTTCCTTTGAGTAGATACTCAGTAATAGGAGTGCTGGATGGAATGATAGTTCTATTTTTAGTTTTTCGAGAAACCTCCATACTGTTTTCCGTAGAGGTTGTACTAATTTGCATTCTTTACCACGGTGTACGTTTACGCCAACAGCATACAAGAGTTTCCTCTTCTCCACATCCCTGCCTCTGAAGTCCTTGTAACGATGAACTCTCTTGATTGTTTGAGCATATTAGAGTTAGAGGACTTTTTTTTTCTTATAAGAACTGAAGACGTCCTCACTGAGGTTCAACTTTCTCACATTCATCCTTTTTTATTTTTTTAACAGACAGGGTCTTGCTTTATCCCCAAGGCTGGAGTGCCATGGCGATCATCTCATCTCAGCCTAGGAGTAGCTAGGACTACAGGCACATGCCACCACACCTGGCTAATTTTTTGATTATTATTATTATTTGTAGAGATGGAGTCTTGCTATGTTGCCCAGGCTGGTCTCGAACTCCTGGCCTCAAGTGATCCTCCCACCTCAGCCTCCCAAAGTGCTCGAATTATAGGTGTGAGCCACTGTGCCTGGCCCTCACAAGCATTTTAAACCACTGAGATAATCTAATTATGCCAATTTCATAGATAATGAAATTGAGTGTGACGGATGTTAACATGGCCTCAGAAGGCTATGGCTTGCCAGTGACGAGGCTCACTAATTACTCATTAGGGGTCGGGGAAATGGAGTCCATTGCCTTGCCTTACTGTAGTCTTAACTCTGGGTATTTTCACATAGCCCTACTGATGGGAACTAGAGACAGATTCTAGTCTCTAGATGGGACCATGACCTTGCTTAAATCTTTTCTTGGCCTTACCCACCTTCCTCAACTCTGCTTCTTCTGAGAGTGATACACACACACACAAAAATCACTAAAACTAGGCCCCCTCCCTCAGGCTCTGCTTTTATGGAACTTGAGCAAAGAAACTGAATTTGTAAAATTGAACCCATCTGTCAAACATCACAGAAGTAGACAAAAAGCAAAGTCACATCTCATCTTCAAGTTTAAATACACTTGGCCAATGTGTTCTCTAGTCATTTTAAAACCGGGTAAGAGAACAGTCAGACATCCTGTCTCAAGAGGGTTCCTGTCACGTTGACTCATTCTGAAATTCCAGTGCAAAGCTTATGAGACAATCACAGAAGAGAAGTTATCTTAGCGATGAGCTTTCTCAAGGCATCCTTCATGTCCTTGTTCCTCAGGCTGTAGATAAAGGGGTTCAGCACTGGAGGAACCACAGTGTACATTATCGAAGCCACTGCAACCTTCCTGGGAGATTCAGTAACTGCGGAACTAATGTACACCCCAAAACCTGTGCCGTAGAATAAGGAAACAACTGAGAGGTGGGACCCACAGGTGGAAAAAGCTTTATACTTTCCCCCGGCTGATGGAATTCTCAAAACAGAGGAGATAATTTGAGTATAAGAGAAAAGAATCCCAGAGACAGGAACACCAACAAATAGGCCAGCCAGCAAATACAGCAGGATGTTATTGAGGAGGGTGTCAGAGCAGGTGAGTTTGAGTACCTGAGCGAGTTCACAGAAGAAGTGGTGGATTTCCAGGTCTGCACAGAAAGAGAGCCGCAAGACCATCAGACCATGGACCAGTGCATCCACGATGCTAATGAACAGAGATATCAGCACCAGCAGACCACAGAGGCGTGGGTTCATGATGTCCGTGTACTTAAGGGGGTGACAAATGGCCACGTAACGGTCATACGCCATTGCTCCGAGTAGAAAGTTTTCCAAGACGGCAAAAACCAGGACAAGGCAGATCTGAGTGAGGCAGCCTGCGTAGCTAATTGATCTGCTTTCTGTCTGGATGTTCACAAGCATCTTTGGGATGGTGGCTGTGCTTAAGCAGAGGTCGGTGGAGGACAAATTGGAGAGGAAGAAGTACATGGGGGTGTGGAGGCGGGCGTCAGAGCCGACAGCCAGGACGATGAGCAGGTTCCCGAGCACCGTGACCAGGTACACGGATAGGAACAGGCCGAAGAGGACGGGCTGCAGTTCCCGATCCTCTGTCAGTCCCAGGAGAAAGAATTCGGAAACTCTGGTTTGGTTTCTGGTTTCCATGACGTTGATGATCTGATCTGAAACATTGGGGATAAGAAAATAAAATGTATGGACTCTCCAACAGCAGCAGCAGGAACAGCAGCACCTGGAACCTTGTTCGAAATATAGGCTAAGGCGTGGTAGCTCACACCTGTAATCCCAGCACTCCGGGAGGCCGAGGCGGGAGGATCGCTTGAGGCCAGGAGTTCGAGACCAGCCTGAGCAAGAGCGAGACCCCTGTCTCTACAAACAACAACAACAACAAATTAATGGGGCGTGGTGATGCACACTTGTAGTCCTAGCTACTCAGGAGGCTGAGGCAGGAGGATCGCTTGAGCCCCGGAGTTTGAGGTTGCAGTGAGCTATGATGACACCACTGCACTCTAGCCCAGGTGACAGAGCGAGACTCCGTCTCAAAAAAAGAAAAAAATACAAATTCTTGGAGTACCACTGCCACCGTCTTGGTGATGTGCTCTGGGATGAGGTCTAGCAATCTGTTTTAACTAGCTCTCCAGATGTTTCTACATATGCTAACTTTGAAAACTGCTGCTCTAGAAAAAAACTCCTTCAACTGTATTGTGAATCTCAGTGATGATTCCAGTCTTTCTGCATATTTCTCCCTCCATCCTTCTCTCCCTCCTCCTCCTCCCTCTGTTCATTTAATCAGTCCAACTTTTTATTGTGCTTGTCTCACACATTGTGGCGAGTTCTGGAGGTGCAACATAGAAGCCATGACTTCCTTCCTTTAGAATGATTGCCTGCCTTCCGATGAATTGAAAGATCAGAATGAGGTTTGAACTGTGTTTCATTTTCAGAGAAGTTCTTCCCCTAAACTTACAGATGGCATAGGATTTTTTTTTTTTTTCTAAAAGGCAGCTGAATGGGAAAAAGAAGGAAGTGTGTTAAGTTCCTAAAAAGGCAGGTGAAAATAGCAACAATTTGTTGGTCCTTGGAAGACAGAGACTTACAAGATGACACTAGTGAGCATCAGGGGACCTTACAGCTATGTCCCAGTGGAGTATGGTTGTGTCTCTCCTCGGGGGAGACACAGAATTCACCGTCAGAGTATCAGTCAATAGTGTGATACTTAAGACCACACTATCTGAACTGCATCCAGACTCCAGCACTTGCTTTGCGCATGGAGAAATTCTTCAACTGTATGAGTAGCCCAGTGCCCTCATTTGTATAACGAGAACTATCTCAAAGTCTCCAGTATACTGAATAGCATAGTGTTCTGTAATAGGGGACCTTCTTAGTGACATTTCTGATAAGGATTTTTTTTTTCTGCCATGAGCAACAGCACCTGGCATGCTTCCGTTAGAGAAAGAAGTGATCAGTAGGGAAGTTGAAGAAAGAGAAACTGGAGAGATAACGTCTTTAGCATAATAACTACACATTTCAGAAATGGGTGTGTGTGCTGAAACTCCCACTGGGAATTTTGTTCGTGTACAGGAAAACGGAAAGAAATATCAATGAAACCAATATTCATCTGACACGGACATACAGTAGTAGCTCCAGGGAATTAAATAATAAAACAAATTGGATACAAGAATCAATACAAGCAATGAAAACCTACAAGAGAAAAAAAATCCATATGATATAAAGTCTACAGCATGAGAATATTTTAAAGATTTTTAAATCTTTAAATTTTTAATTTTTAAATATTTATGTATTTTTTAAAAAATACATAAGTATTATTTTTATTTATATTCAATAATAAAAAGCATCATGGGTATTAATGAAGGGTTAGGGACCCACCAGTCAACATCATATTTACACATCACCATCCTCACTTTAAGTATTTTATTGTAATAAATAATAAGGTATATCTGAGCCCCTCACATCCTATATTTGTACAATCTCGATTCTTTCTCTTCCTCAAGGGCACCAGTACACTCACTTGATATATATTATTTCCATGCACTTTTGCTATAGTTGGTATTATTCTTCCAAGAGCAATTGTGCTGTTTATTTTTTTTCATTTTAAAAAGCTGTATGTAGACAGAATCTGCCACTGTGCGTGCTATTTTATAATCGGCTCTCTTAGTTAATATATGCATTTAATTCATGTTGCTACACTCAGGTTGGCTTCTTTAATTTTAACTACCTTAGACTATGCCCTCCATTGTTACATCCTAATTTATTTCTCCACTTTTTAGCTGATCATATGTGGTGTTTGTCTTGTATCCTATATATACTTATGGGTACATATACAAAATGTGTAGGGGTTACCTGCACATGGGAGCTACCCTTGGGTAGGTAAGGAGGGGAACAGAGAAGAATAGGAAAAGGGTGTCTTCTGTAAGTACATTATTTTTTTTTAACTAAAAAAAAACAAAACACACAGCTAATATAACAGATCATGAACATTCGTTAATTCTGTAAGTGAATGCACGGTGTCACGTTATGTTGTTGTTATTGTGATATCTCTTCTGTTCTTTTAGTGAAACATATTTATAAAAAGGAACAGGTGGACAAGCGAGAGTAGCCTACTCGGTTTGCCTGCGTCTGCACTTCCTGCCCCAGAGATGCCGGTGAACAGAGAAAACACCACAGCTCTTCTGTAGGAAGACGTATGGGAAGACGGTGGGAAGATAATAAGATGAGGCTGACCGACATCTCTCCCCTCCACCCGACCCAGGACGCGCATAAATGTCAGAGGATTTTATAACAGCCATCCTATTTACGAAGAGGAGGGTTTATGCTCAAGAGGAAAATAGCTCCTTCATTATAGGATCGAAGTAGAAGACTAGCAGGATGAGAGCTGCATAAGTATTTTTACAAAGATACCAAAAAAGAAAAAACCCAAAAAACCATCTCATGATGACAGACAGTTAGGCAGGAGTTCCGTGGGGGACTTGGTTCAGACAATCCTATGTGTATGTTTTCCTCACAGTTTTACCTGGATGAAATTGTACTGTAAAACACCTGCTCTCCTTTCCAAAGCATTTTTTAAAGGACTTTGGGTTACCTGGCTGGCATTATTGTGGAATGATACTTGACATCTCCCCTGGATGTTGAACAATGGAGACAGAGTGTCTGTCCTCAGGAAGGACAGGTGGTGATCATCTCTGAGAAGAGATGACCAGGTGATCAGGTGCTGCTTCTTGACTCAGAAGGGCTGGGGAGTGAGGTGGCCACAGACTACATGCATTCTCTGTATCCCCGGGGGCCCAATATCCAAAGCTCCTCATTAGATAAATTCTTCTATTGGCATTAGGATCCCAGGGCTCTGCAAACCCTTGCAGACCAAGACTCTAGAAGGGCAGAATTCAGGATGGCTGATTCCCTTACCCTGCCAAGCCAAGATATCATTCCTTTCTCTCCACCTGTGTCTGCCGTGCCACACACCTGGCACACGTGCATGCACCATGCTTCTCTAATTGCAATCCAGTCTTTTTTTTTTAAGATACGAACAATGCCATCTCTGAAGTCTGATTCTAGTTTTAGGCATGGAAACATAGTTTGTATGTGTGAGTATCAAGATACACCTATAAATATAGATAAGATAGTGTAAAAATGCAAATACTCAGAAATATTTCTTTCTAAGAGTCACTGAGTGTTTCCTGAACCTTAGTCTTCATTCTGTATATTTAATACAGTAGATTCTAATCTAGAACCTGTAATCAAC